ATTAAGCAGATAGAGGAGAGGACCTGAAACTCTGACCTCAAGGTGAAGAAAAATGTCATTTTCAAACTTATGTCTTTACGTTTCCGCAACTTCAATTTAGTCTTAAATCAACTAATGCACACATCTGAGCTTAAATTAAACACATTAAGTTGATGCAATGATGACATTGTTATATCAACCACCATTTGCAACCTAAAAGGCTTATTTAAATCATTAAATTAACATTTTCACCTTGCCATCGTGTATTTAGTGAAGTGGTGAGAAAAAGGTCCAGCTGGAAGAATTATTACAGGCAAATTTGGACTTAAACAACCAGCTGCCTAGTTAACTAATTAAGCACGCAAGTTGAGCTGATCATCATTCATGTGTAGAATATTTATTGATCAAACTGTCTAAAGATATCCGACCTGACTGTCACCTTGTGTAGGGATTCTGCTGCAGGTCCCAAATATATTTATATAGCACTGAGCAAAAGCGTGATTCTTATTTATCACAAATTCATTTTGCCATATGACAAACAAGAAGAGCCATCCGTAGTGATCGGTCCTACATCACACATATGATCCCAGCAGTAGGCCGAATGTGTCTAACGTACTGTATAACTGGACATGACACACACGACTACTTCCGTATGAAAAATTGTAAAAAAGAAGTGAAAATACACAAATGTCTCCCCAGAGGCTGTTAAATAGCTCTCCGTCACAGCTAGAAAAACCGAAAAACTGAAAAGGTGACCAGCATTATTACCTTACCGACATCTGGACCCAATTCCCCGCTGAAATTCATGAATGCTGACTGAATGACGGAGGCATTCTGGTAAGAGAACAGGAGGACTTACTCCAAACGTCATCATAATGCTGTTGAGTCCCCATTAAACCACTAAACCTTACAGCATTACTGTCGTGAGCATATGGCCTGAATTTGGTTGCAGCTGTACAATGTCCAGGTTCGTATACAGTCACCTCTGAATGCATTTGGAGGCACCAAATGGATTAAACGTTTATGAGGTGCAACAAAGACTGCTGTTGAAAAGAGGCAGGTGTGTTTAGGGAGAAACTGCCTTCACTGTTATTTTTTAATTAGAAAGTTGCGCCAAATTTCGCAGAATATAAAAGAAAAGTGTCATTTAAACGTTGCAGTGCTGGTGCTGGAAATCAGCATTAAAAAAAAAACAAAAACAAAAAAAAAAACAGAACCAAAGCAGAAACTATTCCCACAGGAGGACTGTGTTTGTTTGTCTGACCACCCTGCGGAGGTGTAAGTCCATAAACGAGGGAAAGCCTGCGAAAAGCAACCACATATTGTAAAGTTAAATTCTAGAAATTTGAAGCAGTGTGGAGGAACGGGTCCCAGACCAGCACTACGAGCATTTACTGCTCAGGTCGTATGAACCCTCTTCAGGAAACTGCTCCATGATGTGGCACTGCGGGAGGTCACAGATGAACGGGTACACGTGATGAAGAACGGATCACTGTTTGGAAGCATCATTTGAAAACTGTACCGTGGTTCAATGACAGCTGTAGATGTGAGAAAGCAGGAAGCAGACATGAATTCACTATATCACTCCGTGTTTAATTGTGTGTGAATTAAATATTTCCTTTTTATAAACATCTCTGCTATGACGTGTATCTACAGCATACATTTCTAATTTCTCAGTGAATCATCCCTTTAAATCTTACCGGTGATACCAAATGTTGTTCATAGAAATTGTTGTTTTTTTTTTTTATAGTGCAACTGTAGGTGTGTATCTGAACTAAGACTCCATATTAATTCATGTAATATTACAAAAACAAGTCATGTTCAGTCTATTCCAAGCAACATATACATAGGTGCATTATTTAAAACAGTATTTCCATCAGAGAGACATAGTGGATATGTTTCATGTCCTACACAAACCTATAAAGCTATTCAAACGCATCAAAAGAAAAAAAAAATATTCAAGGCACTTAGAATTAGCGAGAAGGAAATTTACAGAGGAACCGAACAAAACCTAACGCAGGTTAAATCAAAACATTTACATCTTAAATCCAGTTGGGAACCCAGACAGATTCAGTGATGGAAAAGGCATGTTTCCCTCTCAGGCAAAGCAGTAAAAACAATATCCTAGCAAACGTTACGCGTTGCCATTCATCCATAAAGTGCGTCGCACGGCCTTCTGCGGGCCGGTTTTTGAGACAGGTCAGAATCAGCTGTGGCTGTTGTACACTTCATCAACTCACCATCACAGAGTGAAAACAGCAGCTGGTCAGCACACACAACCACATGTGAAACCTCTGCCTCTCAAGTGTTAATTAGGTCTAAAAATATGGCTTTTGCAGATGATTTGTTTACCTGGTAACAGTCTCGATGCAGACACAGAGTTACCTATGGCACACAGTTGTTCCTGAAACAGCAGTACCACGGTTCAGCTCGTCATCTTTAATGGCCATCAAACCAAGGCTGTGTTGGTAAAAGGAACCCTAACACCGCCCTACTCTCAGAAATGCAGCTCATTAGTCTACAGGTCACAACTTCTGGATTATTTCAGGGAAATTAGCACCACTATGATATAGCGGGGAACTTCTTTCTGCATTTCTTGACTGAAGTTGAGGTTTGCCTTAAAAATAAATACATCAAGTCTCTTAAAGGGTACATTTCATTGAAATTACAGAACTTACTCTTATGCGTATTTAACCTTGCAGTTAGTTTTATCTGCTGGGATCTTAAGACTTCCTGCTCTAAAGCTTCTTCTGCCACCCAAATACAGTGGCGGTTACTCTAGATGCTCTCAGCGATGACAAACGATTAACAATGAGCTCTATTCACCTGAATTGCATCCGCTTGGAAGCAGAACTCTTTGAAGCGCATATTTTAAAATCTTTAGCAAATAAAACCCAAACTACACGGCCGCACACTTGCAGAGGGGAGTTGAAAGGCATGTTTTTGCAAACTAGGGGAAAGCGACCCTTTCGCCATAGCGGAGGTTGAGAAAACTAAGTGCAGGCTCCATCTCCACCGTAGCAGGAGAAGCACCGGAGCAGCTCTGCTGTCAATATTTATAAAGTTAACTTAAATCGCCATAATCAATGCCCAGAAGTGAACCAATTCTGTACAATCCAAATGTGGGTGTGTATATGTGCTGGAATGTGATGGAGAAATGGCAGGATAAGTGTGCATATTGGCCATTGCATATCTTGGCTCTGTCCTCGGTATGTTATAGACGTCAGTGTCGCTCACTGGACTTGGTTTACCACAAATCACTCTTAGCACTAAAAACATGAGGGAATGCAGGCTTTTGGAAGGAAACGGAGTCGGACTGAAAGTGAAAACACATTGATGTTTCTCAAGAACGGAGGTCTGACTCGTGCAGTGACTGATGATGGCAGTATAAAGCAACGACATGGAAGTACGTGTGAACAGAAGACGACCGCTCCTTTGTGATACCCACCTAGCTACCAATCCCGAGTCTGACTTTTTATTTAACCAGACTTGTTCCTATGACCGCATGGGTGTGTTGTTTCTCTGGCTTGAGGAGACGGCTTCTTGTCAGGAGCCATAAGGCGATGCACATCTGCGGATGTTGACGAGATGACGGTCCGGGTTTTCCGTCGATTGTCACAATTGTGAAAGTCATCAAACCAGTGGCGAGTCTTCAAGTTATTTATTTACTTTTTTGGTCAAGAAGCCAAACTTTGGCTTAGTGACTGCAGGATCGACTTAATCCAAATTAGCAGTCACAGTGGGAGGTCCAAAAGTGAACTGGAAGGGGGGTCAAGAAATTCCACAATTTACGTAAGAGCAACCTAGTCTGAGGTTTTCATTGCCTTTGTTGTCTTCTGTCGGTGCCAGAAAAAATATCCCTGGACCCACGGAACAGCCTGTTCCACTATACTACCCTCCTAAGCCTACACGCTGATCTTGAGGGAAATGCTGTATCAGGTCCAACTCTGACAACGAAGGGTGAAACAGCGGCTACAATCTGGAAGGTGGAAGGACGCGATGTGATGAGGGGGGGAGGGAGTGGTGAAGTCAAAGAGAGGCCCGAAAAACAGAAAATGGGTACTGAGTAGGACTCCAGCATATGGAACGAGGGGGTGGTGGAGCAGGGGAGGAGGAGGAGGAGGAGGAGGACCAGGGTTCGGCGTTAGGGTTCCAGCTTCTTGTGGTAAAGCTGCGTGACCTGGATGACTGGAGGAGAGACGCTGAGTGACGGCCCGCACCAACATGCAGAGGATCGCACCGGCTGGACCTCACACCTGCCACTGGAGAGAGGGAGACGTTCAGCATTTGGCTCGAATTAAACGGAATGTGAGAAGCGTACAAGTCAGACAACACAAAGCCCGACAGACGGAGAGAGTCCAAGAGGAAAAGTAGAGGGGAGACACTAGAACAGCCTGATTTGTGAGCAATCCTTGTGGGGAAGATAAAACGTTATTTAAGCCAAAACGTCAGCAAGTTACAGTTACGATCCCACTGAGAACACAGAGGAAGACAGGCTTTTTTTCTCCGGCTCTTTGACATCTGTTACTAACTAATGAAGGTATCAGATCCTTTACTTCTGTTCTCCATTCTTAAACATGTCATGCACGGACAAAGCATTCTATATAGTCATAGGAATCCACACAATTTGTGAATAGCTGAGATCTAAACCTGAGTCTTTCTTACTGGAAGTTGTCAAAGCAACAGATGGACAAAGGCGGAAAGAAAAACCTGAAATCCAGTAACCTACAATGCCCACATAGTGAGCACACATCAGCACGTGGAGGAGAGGCACTAACAGCATGTGTTAGTCATAAACGATGCAGGGGTGCAGGGTGGTACAGCCAAAAGGTTCACAGAGCACAGAACGTCGCAGAACAACAAGTACACATCACGGCTGGGGTGAAATCACTTTCAGGTCACTCCATTCAACAACTTCACTTGAGTGATCAGGTGTTGTGGAACCCAGTTATTGAGGTTGTTGTGTGGCCGGCGGTGCAGCTCCTACAAATAAAATCATCTTTCTTTTAATGTCTGTGTCCATCAGGCCAACGCACTTCAAAGACAAGGACTCTGTGTGAGCCGAGACAAGATCGTAGGAGTTCATCCTGAACTAGGTGAACTGAAAGTGAACTCATCCCAACCTTCATAAACATCCTGACTACAAGCACTTCAAAGATAGGTCGAGGTCTTTTTCAAGCAAATCTTAACACAGCACCGACATGTAATACGTGCAGTCAGTTTGGACAAGAGAGGCACAACAATTAGCTGCACATTTCACATGTGAGTAATTTAAGACAGACTTGAAAATAAGCTGAACCTATCCTTCCACATCCTGACACCACAAAACAGGACATCTTTATAGAACAGTTAACAACGGGATGCATGTTACTGAGAAAGAAGATATGAAAGTATAGTACGCCATAAGGTTAGCCTGCTGAGCTGGTGTTTGAAGTACCTCACATGTTATGGGGCTCTTTTTTTCAGATTGGGGCAGCACTGCTGTGAAGAATAAGGGTAAAAAAAAAAAAAAAAAACACAAGAAAGAGGAGGAAGGGGAGACATATTTAAAAAAAGAAAACCAAAAGGCGTCACTATGATGAAATAATAGCAATGAGAAAGACATTTTCTTTACCGAACATCTTTACATGGCAGCGACTTCCTTTAAAAGAAACAACAAAGACTGGCATGTTTATCCATATGTGTGTTCAAAGTCCAAAACTATGGCTTCCATGTGGCGCTACAATTCACTTATGATTACTTTGATTTGTGTTTTGTTTGTTATTAGAATGCCACAAACATAATTCCATGCATTTACCAGAAAATATGATAAAGTGCTGGAATAAACCCCAACATCTGGGCAGCAGCGAGCACATAATAATGTGAAACAACATCGATAAACGCTGCAGCACCGAACCGCCAGCCTGTGCCCAGATTTTAGATTTTCATTTCCAGCTATTGTTCGTATTTGCTGGATTCTGGATACAACTCTGCTGGCTGCAGCCTTGAACTACACTACATGTTCTTGTTTGTCTAAGGCGGTCAGATGGTGGACAGCGGAGTATTTTTATCATTAAGGGCAAACCCTCAGTGGGCGCAACGTTGTGTAGCTAATGTGGCTAATGCTAGCATTAGCTTTGACTGCATGCTCACGGATCAGAGCTCTGTCAAAACTATTATGCTGAGGGACAATTAGATATGATGGAAACTTAAATAAACAAAGAGTGTTACAGCTCGGTGCAACCTAAACCCAGCAGGTGTTGACATCTGTTTGCTCGTGCTCGAACCTGTTTTTATTTACATATTCTTCTGTTTCTGTTGCGAGACGACGAAACAAGTATGAAATAGTGCATGAAGTGCAGCCCATTGACTCACAGCTGCTGCTCTACAACGATAAATCACTGATTTTAAAACATTGTCTGACAAACTTATTATCACAGTTCAAAACGATGGCCATGCTGAGAATTTGGGGGTTTTTCCATTTAAAATGAATGCTCAGAGAGAATGTCACGAGCAATAAGTCTCCTGCTTTCCTTCATGTCTATATCGGCTGCTCTGCAAACTGCTGCTTGGCTCCGTACCGTCAGTCACAGATGAAGGGTACATGGAAAGAAGCAGGTGCAAACGTACAGAAACAGCCAGTTTAGAACAAGTCTAACACCAGGGGTGTGCGGTCATGGTAAAATGATCTTTTCCCTCTATGGAGAGAAATAAATTTGAACACTGCGGTCTGTAAGTCTTATGTCTGTTTGAGATCAGTTGCTCCTCCTGTGTAATCTAATTATGCGGTAGAGGCCAGAGAAAGCAAAGCCCCCCACTGTGCAGGACCTATCAATCAAGTTCACCACTGAGGATGGTCAAGACAGCAAAGTCGTTTCTTTAACCTCAACCAAGAGGAATCCACCTCTTTAGTGCAGAAAGGCCTCTATTTTATATTTGTATATGTGATCATATTCTAGCAAGACGCCTCCAGGGTTTCTCTTACTGGCAGTGTTACAGCTGATGGAAGAATCTTTTCTATTAGTTTGACGGAAGGAGCTTCCAGCAGTTTATCCGGCAAAACCCCTTTACATCAGTGCTTATGTGAGGCTTAACTGGCAGCAGCTTCTGATCCAGAGAAACACAGCAGAACTCAGCTGCATCTGTCCAAGACAGTTTGTTAACCTGATCAAAGAAAGCAAAGGCCTTCTCCTCCACGTTCAGCATTCCACCTTCCCCATTAAACACCGCCCTCGGCCCCTAACATGCTTTTTTAAAATTTTCATTAGGATATTAACTCAGGGTTAACATCTGTGGCAGCAAAATCAGAGTGAGAAAATATTGTTTATCATTTAGTTTGTGTAAAACAGAGCTGAGGGCAATTTACTTGAGAAGGCCAAAGTAATTACTTTATTTAATCATGATTGTTTTATGTGTGTGTTGTCTCTGCGTTCATAGTATTTGCCAGAGCCAACAGCTTGCCTACAACAACCTATCTGCTCCAGCATCTTACTGAAACCGTTTGTGACGTTTGTGTGTGTGTCTTTTACCCGGTGTCGTCAGGCATGTCCTGATCAGCCTCTGCAGCGGATGATTCAACGTCTACGTCTGCACTGCTCTCGCTGCCCTGAGCTGACAAACCACACGGCGACTCTGGGCTCACACACTCACCACTGACACACAGAGAAGCACACACACACAGCCAGAAGGTTTTTACTGACATCGTTGCACCCTTTAATGTTGTTCATTTCAATATTGTTTTTACTAATGAAGCACATGGTGTGGCTTGAAGTTGTGACTTGTGTCAATGTCATTTGAGTTGTACGTGTGTCTGCAATGATTGATTAATTGCCATTATTAATTTAATCAATGAAAAATGATTATGAACCAATTTAACTGTCAAAAAAGGTATCGTAAATCTGCTGTAGTCGCTTGTTGCACCACCAGGCGGAGGTCTGCATGTTCTCAAATGAAGTTACAGGTGTGTTTGCTGCCGACCTGCTTCTCTGCCGTCTGCCTGCTAACGGTGGCAGTCGTTTTGATTGAGTCCGCTCGTGCTAACGCTAAGCTAGGATTCTCAAATGCTAAACCAAGCTGGGAGCTGAGTGTCTGTCAGCAGGGAGAAGCTGTAGCTGTTCAGGAGCAGGAGAACGCCGATCACATGCTTCCAACAACTTTCAAACTAAGAAGATGTAGCGGTTCATAAATACATTTTAGAGGTGACCATAAACCCTGACAGATTTGTTGGAATAATAAAGCTTCTGCAACAGCATTTGTGGATACCTGTCTCAGTACATCAGGTATGAGGATTACTCCAATATAAAATCGTCTGTGAAGATGTTCACGTTGTAGGTTATTTACTGTGGCAGACAGGAGCCTGTTGGTTGTGTCTATATTGGATTTTATCGGCTGCATCATTGATGAGCAATTTGAAATGAAACCATTACTTTTTGCCATTTCATTTGCAATTAAAATGACCTTATATGACTTCATCTGTTCTTCAAATTAGGGCTGCAAGGTGGCTCGGTGGTTCGCACCGTTGCATTGCAGCGAGAAGGTCACCGGTGAGGACACCCGGGATCTTTCTGCGTGGAGTCTCCATGTTCTCCCCGTGCAGCGTGGGTTCTCTCTGGGTTCTCTGGCTTCCTCCCACACAGTCCAAAAACAGGTTAACTGGTGATTGTAAATTGTCTGTAGGTGTGAATGTGAGTGTGCTTGGTTATCTGTCTCTAAGTGTAGCCCTGTGATAGACTGGTGACCTGTCCAGGTGAACCTGTCTTCACCCTGAGTCAGCTCGGATAGACTTCAGCCCCCCGCGACCCTCGTGACAATTAAGGTGTATAGCTAATAGATGGATGGATGTTCTTCAAATTCATGAAATTTTGTGGTGAACATGAAGTGGTTAGTTTATTAAAAATGGTTTTATCAGCCTATGGGGGAAAAAAAACAAAACAGCATCTGTACTTTATTATTTTGGCAATTAATCAATGATTACTTCCACAGCCAATATTTTTTCAAAAATCAACCGTTTGAAATTTGCATCCCCAGTGTTTACCCTTAACCCCACCTCTTGTACCTGTGTGTGTGTGTGTGTGTGTGTGTGTGTGTGCGCCTGTCTACTGACTTGATGTGCTTCTCCAGTACTAGGATCGCCTGCTCCCTCTCCTCCAGCCTCCTCTTCAGTGAGGCGATCTCCTTCTGCTTCTCAAGGAGCTCCTTCTGGAGACGATAGTTGCTCTCTTCCAGAGTCTCACAGAACGCCTGGAGGGAGAGAAAAACCAAGCAACAGACATTATTTAACAATCCCACCTCTGCTGATATTGTTGATGGGCAACAGAGGATAAGACAGGAATAGCATATTTGGATGCAAGCATCAAGGCCGTACATGTATTTTTGGCCATTTGTAAAAATCTATAAATATACAGATCTAAACACACATAGGTTTGAGGTGTCTGAATTTTTAAAAAAATAATTCCAGGTCGGATTAGGTCGGTTGTTTTACCGATCTTGTTTGACACATTTATGTCACAAGTTGTGGATTGATGTGATGAAAACAAGTCTCTGCTTTCGTTATCAATACCATCAACCTACGTCATGTCCCTGCCACATATAGGACAGGCTATCTTTTTCAACTTGTAGTTAAGAACATAAAAAAATATACCTGAGCTTCGGTGCTGACTTAAAAATACCTTACATATTGGTTTATTTTGCTAATTATACACTTTAAAAACGTGTGTGTGTGTGTGTGTAGAGCTGCCCTAACAACAGCCACACAACAACTGATCAGTGAGCCAGGCTTTATTAAAAACACCTGTGATACATATTAATACTCACATAGTTTTCTATTTTGAAAGCTTGTTTCAAGCTAAATTGAATAATTAATATAAAGCAAACTTTTGTGGCCGTGATGTAGCAACGACAAGCTAACCAAACAGACCCCCTGGCTGTTTTTTTTTTTTTAGTCTCATCTTCTATTCCTTGTTCACACTTGGTTTGTTTCCCATTACAGAGCTTGGACTGCGTACAAACACATCTACATTTTTTTTTCAGCTTGCGCACAAAACAAACAGCTAGCAGACCGTGAGGAGACATTCACTGAACTGGACAATACATGCATTGGATTAGAAACATATCCTCCAATTTAACAAGAACTTCCTGCTACAGGAAAAACTTGCTCAGTTCCCACAGCAACAGCAACAATGTCCAGCACCTTTTCCAACTACAAACAGGAATGATTTTTGGAAAATGCCTTAAAGTGACATGTGTAGGTCACATACAGTGCACACAACTGGATGTAAAAGCATGCAACACAAGCAAATATAACCCCTGCAGGAAACGGACATTAAAAATGAGCCTTTTGTCACATATAGCACTACAGGCTTTATAGCACTTCATATTACATGAATACAAAAAGCCACAAGGGCTGTAGGGTCACCCCAGGAGTTTTGGCTTGCATCTGAAGTAGTTCATGGTGAATCTGAGGTCTGCCTTGGGCCTTGTCCTATGATAGAAACCAGCACCATTCCAATTTCACTCTCTTGCTTGACTGCATTACATGTGCATCCAGAATGTCTGATATTGGCTGGAATCCATCCCACCTTCCCTTAATCCATGCAAGGCCTCCCGTACCACTGACTGCTACGTGACCCTACAGGAGAATATTTCCATTCCTCGTCCAAATGCTGCTCCTTTTTTGCAAAAATATCTCAGTTTTAACTTCACATATAACCAACAGTTGTTTTGAAAATGACTGATGTGACCAGATGTTGGTATTTATGATGAGGTGGGAGGTAAACCTTCCTTCTGATGACTATTCCATGTGAGTGCATTAACACTTCACAGTTGAACAGTGCACCGCCAGTCCTGAGCCAGTTCTCTCCTCAGGAGTTCCTTTGCGGCGGATGTGCAGTTTCAGCTGACCATGTATTTGTCCGGACTTCCACTTCTGCCACCCTGGCTACCATTTGTTTATGACATTTCAGACGGTGGAAAACACAAGCAGGAAGAGGGTCGCTACTTTTTATAGGCCCCTCTGCAGCCGACTTCAATCCTAACTTTAGGTCCGAAGCCAGCTGCATTCTTGGTGGAAATTGAATGTTCCTCCAAAGTTTGAAAAGTCAGAGTTTATCAGGCTGACATTTTCAAATGACAGTTCTTGACCTGCATTACAAGTCCTAAAAAGTCAATTAGGGATTAGAGGCAGTGAGACCTTCGCAAGTAGCCCAAGCTTTAGCACTTGTAAATTACTTAAATTAAACGTTGACATTCTTGAACTCTAACAAGCATGTCGTGAGTCACATTTTCACATTTTATCACCACATGTGGTCACAGTATACCGCTGATCCACCACCTGTGGATCAGTGGTATACTGTGACCTCATGGTCATGACATGGGATTGCATTACCCACATGCAGGCATGCGTGTCTCCTCGTTTGCGCATGAAATGAACAAACTGGAGAACCACTTATAGAAAAACAGCTCCATAACTCCAATAACTCCACAGGGAACCTTTATTAGAAAACATTTACATCACTTCAAAGCGCTAAATAACGTGCCCAGGTGTCCAATATTCTGCTCCCAAGTGTGAGCGCACATGCTTTAACGTGTATATGCGTACTTACCCTGCTCTCCTCCAGACTATCAAAAGGCCCTGGTGGGTCATCAAGACACAGAAACTCTCTCACTGCCAGGCTGGTGAGGAGAACCAATGATAGAGCATAAGTTTGTGTGACTGTTGTTTAGAACAGAGCATTCTGCTTAATAATGCAATAAAAAACATTTAATTAAAACTATAAAATAGCCTGACGCGAGTAGCATTTATTCATCTGGTAATCTACACAACACTGACATGAGCAACACAAAATACAGAGTTCAGATGAATTCCCTCTGATGTCTCAGCATGCAACACAATCTGGCGTAATAACTACATTTTAAAATTTCAACACACTGCACAGTCATGTCACGTACCAGTTGGCGATGTCCTTGTGAGCGACCAAGTTTTGTAAAAAAGCCTGCAGTCCCAGCTGTCTGTCTTCCAGGAAGTCGCTGTCATAGTTATCTTTGAACCAGCGCTTAGGAGGCAGCGAGAGGCGAAAGCCTGGAAACATTTCTTTTAACTAGAATGAACACAAGCACACACACACACACACACACTGGAATGAGCATCACATGATCGCTCCAACAAACAGCATACAGCAGTTGTAGCAAAAGAAAACTATTCGGTGTTTAAGACAATATAAGGTTAATGGTTTGTAACTCCATGAAGCTCACACTCTATTTCTGCATTACAAACTCTGACTTGCATCAACGCAAGTATTTCAAAACGTGAAAATTAGCTTTAACAGGAAGCGTGTGAGAAGTCTCCTTTGATCATTTAGATAAGATTCTTTCAGTCAGCTTGGGACAATCATGCTTCATTTATAAACTAAATTTTTGGGCACATTTTACCCTTTAAAAAAATTGCAATATGGCCATGGACACTGGCCATGGGCATATTGGGATAATATGTTGATATTAATTTTAAGTAAGAATTGTTTGGCCCTATGTTAGCTCTTTTCTGTACAAATGGGTAGCACACATTTTGAAAGGGGTTCCTTCACATTGGGTATTTAACAGTTTCCCTAAAATATACACAACTACAGCCTTACACCAAAATACTGATCCAATAAGTGCGTCACGACATGCATCAATTGTTTGAGTAAAATCTGCTCTGATATAGTTCAGGGGAGTTTAAAACAAAGACACGCATCGCCTCTGCCGGCCTTCCATTATTCCCGCCCTCCTTCTGAGCTTTGAAATTGCCCGGAGGAACTGCTTTTACATGCAAAACCAGAACGCTCCTGAAATTTCATCCTGGTTCCCATAGAACTCTCAGCGGGTAAAAGGGTGGGTATGATGTGCAACTCATCAGGTGTACCATATCTAAGGCACTGTAGGGGTTTTGCTATATTATGGAAGACTGTTTGAAACACCACATATAAGCAGAAAGCAGGCGCTGGTAGTGGTCTGAGATGTTTTTATAGATGTTCCATCCATCCATTATCTATACACCGCTTAATCCTCACTAGGGTCATGGGGGGCTGGAGTCTATCCCAGCTGACTCAGGGTGAAGGCAGGTTCACCTGGACAGGTGACCAGTCTATCACAGGGCTACACTTAGAGACAGACAACCAAGCACACTCACATTCACACCTACGGACAATTTAGAATCACCAATTAACCTCAACATGTTTTTGGACATATGGGAGGAAGCCGGAGAACCCGGAGGGAACCCACGCTGCACGGGGAGAACATGGAGACTCTACGCAGAAAGATCCCGGTGCCCCCACCGGGATGTGAACTGGCAACGTTCTTGCTGCGAGGCAAAAGTGCTAACCAACTGCGCCACCTTGCAGCCCTTTTAGAGATGCCGAGATACTTTTTTAGAAATCCCTTATCTTCACTTCCACTGGTAGGCAAAGTGTCGAAAGTCAACAGTTCTTGTGCAAACTCCCTCTGCTTCAGCCTTCACTGTTCATTATGCCTACCTCCATCCTCTCCAGTGCTCTGCCAACATTTAGGAAATATATACTGCTGGTTTTGCAGTGTTCTAGGCAGGAGGGTGGGTTGGCGTGTGTTTACAGACATGCCTGTTTTACACACTTGGCAGCCTGAGCCATGTCCATAAATCACTAGTCACTCAGTACAGAGGCAGTGCTGATTTATGAAAACATGATCACCATGCTGGGTATCTCTGCCACAGTCAGTCTCAACAGAACGCATGTTTGGATTGCCTGTAAGGTCCACTCACAGCAGTCAAGTCCTCTTATTAATTTCAATAATCTCCCAATTATTAAAGACAAATCCTTTAAATATCTGTGCCACAGTTATTACAATACACTTGAAATTGGAAGATTTCCAAACAGCTGATCAACGAGGCCTTTACAACTACAAACACAGTGTGATTGGTTCAGCTGTCGCTGTGGAAAAACCACAGGAATGGAGGAGAGGATGTCCACACCTCCTCCCTTAACTCGATCTCCTTGTTGAATGCAGGGCGTGCCCAAATCCTGTGTTACCGTTATTGTTGCTTAGGATTACTGTATCTGAAAAAAATCAGCAAAAACATACAGTATCATCCTATAGCTTTCTGTTTCCCCTTCCTTATCTGTGACCAAACTGTCCCTCCCAAAATCACGAGAGGCTCATTCTCCTACTTGGCTCAGGCCTGTTGGCTGTTAGGGAACAGTGAGCTTCTTTGTGTAGCTCTAATCATTTCCACCAAGGACTCAAAAACAAAAGAAAGCACGCTGAAAGCAAAGGGTTGATAGTCGAAACCAGTGTCTACACATACATGAAATGATGACGACAAAACTGAGCTTCATATTGACTTAATATCTGGCACTGCCCATACAACCACATGTACAGACAACACACCCAAACACACCTTGTCGTTGAGCCTGGAGAAGTCTGTGTACCTCCTAAAAACAACCCAGCTCTCATCTGGAGTCTTCTTGACCAGGACCTTATATACCTGCAGCAGAGAAAAAAAAAACCTCAGAGACTGCCAACATACAGTAGTGTGGCACTCTTTAGATATTTAGCATAACATATGAAGAGTCACTTGATGGTTCATTGATGTTTTGCAATACAGTAAAAATGAAAATAATTCCAGTCATGCTCATTGCTCAACACATCCCACGACTACAGCCCAACAAACTGCCTAGTTTGAATAAAACGTTCTGACACCTGCTCTGTGTGGTTTTTGAGAGAGCAGACCAGCTTGTGTCGTGTTTGTCAAGTGCCTGTAGATGATTTCTAAGTAAACAGTACAAGTCTTTGTGCTGAACAAACGTTGACATCAGGCGTTCAGGTCCATCCCATTTGCTAAACTGTCAAGACAAAGTGAACAGGCTGATGTTACCTAATTAAAGTTGTCAGGATGCCATATTAACCAGTTCTATAGGTGCATACCGTGAACTTGGCCCTCTCCTCCATGACCTCATACCCCAACACAGTGGGCGTGATAGGCCTCTCCTCAATTTGCTGACTGCCATCAGGATCCGATACGGAGCGAGGGCAGCTTGAGTACTCCACAGAAGCTTCCAGTGTCCCGTTTACCCGAGCCCGCGTCACAGGGCTCTGGAGCGGCGGCGGCGTCCGGCTGCGTCCGGCTCTGTCTGCGCAGCGGGACGAACGCTGGGAGCCTAACAATTCTCTTCCAGGGTTCTCCCCGGCCATCCCGATGATGGGGGACGAGGACTCCAAGCTGCTGGAGACGCTTCCCAGTGAAGAAGCTCGCTGTGGACGTCTCAGCTTGTTGCTACCGCCGGACAGGGCTCTGTCCATGGGCACAGGGACAGGCACAAAAGGTGATGCCATCTTCCTGAGTTGTGTGCTCCTGCCCCGCCACCGCAGTAGTCAATAAGGCTTTTTTCACACCGACACTGACCTTGCCTCCTCGCTTCAGTAGCGTTGAGTGTTTTTACAGAGTCTCACAGTGCTGCTTAGCCTGAAGGTGCTGGCATTGACTCTACAGAGAAAAGGAGAACAAGAATCATTTGGTATTGTACAAAGGATGATTTAAATTGACTTCAGGTTTTTAATATAAATTATATAAAATAATACATAAATGTGCCACAAATCATCAGGAAATCCACCCTGGAATACCAGACCGTAGGGGCAGATAAATTATTGACAGCAGCCATATGTCATTCATAATATATAAACATGTGTATCATGTGTAAAATCCATTATAGAAAAAGGATTTAAAGATGGACAGATACTTAATGTACTGATTGATTAGCTTTCAAGTCTGACCCAGAATGCTGCCAAAGGAAGGAGTCATGATGCTTTGATTTAACATAAGGGAAGAAGAGGATGCAAGCTGGTTTTCTTGAGAGAGGGGCGTAAAAAAAAAAAATCGATTTCTGCTCAGACCGAGATCAGCAGCGACCTGTCAAAGAGGCTCATGTTTATTCTGGAGCAGCTCTGGGTGTTTAAGCGACTTAAAATGAAAATCCAAACGGTAGGCTATAATACACATCCGACCGAGGGTACTGGCTGCATCTTCTGTGAATCCCGAGGGGGAAGAAAATAGGAAGTTAAAAGGAAAAGAAAAAAAACAAAACACGGATGTTATTCATGGCTCATGCTGCTCACTCACTCCTCACTGAGTCGTGCAGTTATTTAAGTGAGACATGACGAGCTGGGACTGAAGCCAGCGTGACAACAACACGCTGCCCTGCTTCCTACTATCAGTCACATTTGTAAAGTCGAGTGGTTAACCGCTTAGCCGGCCTTTAGTAGGTCAAATTAGCAAACAGGCTAATGTCCCCCTGATGCATGACCGTCCCTGTGCACTGCATTAACGTTTTCCTGCCTTTCGATTACTACTGGGAGTCACAAAGACACATGACTACTACAGTACTGCCACAAAGAAAACCCTGTTAATTTGCCCAGTTGTAATAATAAACACATAATTTTCACCCTAACTGCGAGCTACAGCTAACGCTAGCTAACACCAACTAGTTAGTTAGTTGCTATGACCAACAATCCAAACAAAGTAGGCTAACTCCATTTTTTATTAAAATAAAAGCAAAATTTAACAAAAAGTTCCACGCCGAGAAAGGTAGGAATTCCTTAAGCTTCAAAAGCAGTCGTTTTTTGTAGTTTATTTAGAGCACTTTGTCGACAATGCATACGTCAACGCTTAAACGGCACCTTTTTTGAACGGCGCCTGGCCGATCCACCATCCCGGTGAGAGACGGCTGGGATATAAAGGCTATCACATTACGTTAGCTAGCAAGCTACAACGGACAGCCCGTGAGGACAAAGGTGAGATGGTGAAAGGGCCTTTAAGCTTACCGTAGGAGTCCACGTATCCTTTCCTCTCGGTTAATTTATTTTACTATACACATGAAGCCCCCAAGTGTCGGATTGTCCCGTCGCTGTTTATCCACCGCTCTCCTCCCTTGCCCTTTTCATGTTAGCATGCTTGAACTGACACCTCAGCAGTGCTCCGGGACGACCACACGGGGGCGCTGCAACACACATAAATGTAATGCAGCTGCAGAACAGCTTGTGTTTTGGATATACAGTCGTCCTCAAATTTATTCCGATGAAGACAAGGCAAAAATTCACAATAGTCACTCAAATGGCTAGAAACTGAAAAAAGTAATAATAAATAAAAATGTGCTAAATTCGAATTTTGTGAAATAAGACATTGCTTTTGAATTGTGGTCAAAAGAATAATTTTTAAAAAAAAAGTGCAATTGCAGAAGTCTGATTGAGCGTTACAGACAGCACTTGATTGCAGTGATATTATGACAAAATATTAGTTTACGGGCCCCATCATGCTTGTTTTTTTTTTTTTTTTAATTTTTAAAATATTTCTGTTGAACCACAATTCAAAAGCAATGTCATGATTTTCGTTAATTTTTTAATTTATTATTACTTTTGTCAATTTCAACTTATTTAATCGACAGCTGTATTTTTTTTCTCCCTTCATTAGTGGGAGGATATGAATACATTTGTGGAAGACTGTAGTTGGATTGGTGGTAGTAATCACTGCATGTCACCACTGCTGACAGCCTCGCTTACGGTGAATAAAATGCAGTGTTGCTTTTCTGTCACCTTTCTTCTTTTTGATCCTGACATCTACAAGAATATTTCTACCTATATAGTGACTCCTGAGAAGATGAATCCTGCAAAAAAAAAAAAAAAAAGAAGAATGAAACCATGCACATAGCAATAGATGCTTGTGATGTGGCCCTATTGAATGTCACACCTGACAAGACATTTTGTCACTCAACAAATCCCAAATCAAAGGTGATTCCTAATTTTTGTTTTGCAAAACTAAAAGCGTGCAAATCAACAGATCACACTGTGCAGGCAACTGTGAACATTTATACAGTATACTCTCACCGGTTTGCACACCTTTAACCCCAGAAGATGAACTGAAGGAAAATTCTACACTTTGTCTTGCTGCAGTATTCATGAATTTTAAATACAAAAATGTGTCTTTCGTGTCTTTCCCAATAGATGCCAGTGACACATCCTTATGTTCTCAAAATGCTAAAACCACAACCAAATATTTCCAGTGCAAACAGGCAAAAAAAGAAAAAAGTTTTAAATATTAGCAGATGCAGTTCTCACAGTGATGATGAGTTGCAGTGACCTACAGATCTTAATAATGCAGAAGTTTCCAAAAACTGTTATATCATCTGCAGACTGACACATGAGATGGTTAGGAAACTCTCCTGAAACACACCCTTTGACACTAGGCAGCAAGGCAGCCCCATTTGAACCTGGGTGTGTCAGCGTGTACAAGAACAACGAGTGACGAATAGAGTTTCATTAAACTGACGCGAGCTGGAACACTTGTTGACTTGAAGAAGAGAGTCTATCAGTAAGTATGAAATGCGCCTCATTGTTGCTGTAGCTTGATTTTACCAATGAGAATGATCAGGAAAGATAACAGTCAGGCTTTATGCAACTAACAGTTCTTGTTTAATGGCTTTTTAACTGGTTTATCGGGTTCAACAAAGTGAATGAATGAGTGTGTGAGTGAAGCAGCTATGGTGAGAGAGAAATGAGTCTACAGATGTCTTGTAAGAATGAAAACTAATGAAAAAGATTCTTGCACAGTCTGTCTACATTTTACAAAGGTGTGTAAAATTTAAAGCATGTAAAATACATTAACAATTGTCAACTAGATTCAAAAGTCTGAAGACTGTAGTATTAATATGAAAAACATTATTCATCTTCTCAGAATTAATCAGTAGATGCTCCTTATAAGGGAAAGAAGTTTAATCTCAGTACTTGATTTGTAAATCAGTTCCTACTTATTTCAACTCTTTAGAGGTAATTATCATATTTATGGGAACACATCATGTCCAAACAAGAGTGTGCTTCAAAACCTCAAGCAAAGAACGTTGTGTTACAGTTTTTAAGTGAGTGATTGCTGACCTGCCTTCTCATTTTTTCTACCAGACACAATGGCATCCGAAGGCAAGCCCGTGTCCGAGGCCATCACCAAGTTCTGTCTGGCTCTGCTCAGCAAGCTGAGCAAGGATGACAGCACCGCAAATCTCTTCATCTCACCTTTCAGCATCTCTTCGGCCCTGTCTATGGTGATGCTGGGGGCCGCGGGCAACACGGCCACACAGATGTCAAAGGTACGGTGTGAGCACACTGTGAGAAATAACGTTATAAAATTACAGTTCTCATGGTGAACCCGCCCATTTGGGCTCTTACATGGATGTACATTCAAATTCCATTCCAGTGGATCAACTTCATCGTTGTGCTGGAATTGTGCCATTTGCTTTAGGTGTGGGCTCAGTTTTCAAGCTCTGTTATGTGTGCAGTTTACTGGGTGCACCGAAAATGTGATGGGGTGTTAAAAGCTGATTGATACAAAATACAGGGGACCTTGAATATTGTATGCCTGACATACATGCACACTCACAGAAACATCTGGTATGTGGTGCAGAATAAATGTACCATAAAAGCACAGAAGTAATCTGAACTGTGAATATAAAATGCAGGAAACATGAGTAAATAGCTTGCTGTCAGACACAGAATGGCATTAGAACTGACAGGAGGGTTTTGGTGTGAATTCCCAATGGAAAACTTTTACCTACCTGGCAGAGTGGGGTGGGGCAGAAGTAGGTGTCTGCACAGGCATGTAGGCAGGCAGGTAGGCAGGCAGGCAGGCAGGCATTACTCATGTGGTGTTTCATTGTCAGCAAAAATGGCAGAGATCTATTCTCTTGACCCAGACTACAGAGAAAGGACGAGTTTAACTTCAGTAGATCATCAGAATGATAAGCACAGTAAAGCAGCAAAGCTAAAACAGAATCAATGTGGACCTGTTTCCAGTGATATTTAGTGGTGCAAAGTGACAGTCACTTCAGCACTTTCCATTTTCCGTTGCCTTATCACTCTACTTCATTCCTTTTTAGACACTAATGCTGTAGTTTTAACTAAGCTGTTGTTCCCCCTTATGTGCCAGAGTCAGATCTAGCAAGCAAAACATATGATGAGGTTACAAAATGTACATATACTGGATATACTACATTATATACAACAGTATCAGTCCCACCTCAGTCAGCTACTTATTGATGTCAAACAGTATACTGACAGAGTACTTTCTGTTTACTTTGCTTTTAATGCACAGATGCTTTTCTTTAGTCACATTTTGAATGCAGGAGTTTTACTTCTAATGGTTTATTTACACAGCATTGCATTACATCACTTGAAATCTGGATATGAATACACTGTATTCCAGTGCTGTTCTGTCACATAAAAGCACACACAGGTTTATGGGCTGAAAAATGTTTTCGCCCGTCATATATCATATTATATAACCAGATTCACTGCAATTTTGGCAACCTGGTGCATAAAGGTGTATAGAGGCGGATTTTGTTCCTGCCAGCACATGCCATGTCAATGGAGCAACAACTGCCTGTCAGATGTGAAGTTCATGAGCTGTACAGATCTAATGCAAAGGAGAGACAGTTAATAGGAGTGGCAGTTAAGGTTTTAACAGGGAATAAACAAGATTAAGCTGCAGTGGAAGTTTGCTTGTAATGGTGAGAGTATAATCATGACTGAGTCATTGCTTATGATGACGAAGACCTGTGCATGCATGACTGCACAGGTGTTCATCTGTCACACACTCACACACACTCACACATGCACACACACCATGCACATTCACACATCTACAAGTCAGTGTTAACAGTGATTTTTATGATGACCCAAATGATCATTTTCTCCCTTCCAGGTCCTTTGCTTCACTGAATCAGACAACGCAGGAGCACAACGTACACGGATGCTGCCGATGCAGCAGGTGCACGCAGACAGGCAGGCGAGGATGCAGAAGCAGTCACAGATGCAAGCGCCTGTAGGCACCAAACTGCCAGGCTACCTGGTCAAGGTGGTTACAAAGCAAACGACACATGGTTGATTTGTGATCAGGGCAGAAGGTGTCAACTGATGAGGAAATCTGAGATTTTGTTTTCAGAGTCAAATCCTTAATTTTTACACAGCTTTTCTTGCTACATCTTTTAAAAGCAGCTTTGTGGACATAAAGTTTGATGTGAAATAACAAAACAAGAGACTTTACGTAGCAGATGGAAAACGTTGCGTCTTAATGAAGCAAGAAAAACGCGTCAACCTAAATGTCCTAAATGATCGTTCTATTTGATGTTGTCACTAAAATGACCCTTTTTACTGTATCACTGGGCAGCCTTCCCTATTAACATGTTAGCTGAGACAAACTAAGAACCACTGACACATTAATAAAAGGCCAATACAGGCACGTTTAAAAAGAAAGAGCATAAAGACAGGCCGGACCTTGTAACAGAAATGTCCTTTTTGGGTTTTATTGACTACCTGACCGCTGTTAGCTTTAAAGTTTCTCGCTTACAGACCCCCTTCTGTGAAAGATGTTTTATTAAACTTGCAACATGCCCATGTGATGATTGTAATATGCTGGAACACACATCACGAGCAACATAAGCAGTCATTGTCACAGCTGAGCAAAGTGCTGATCAGCTGATAAACACAGCTTCAGACGGCCAGGATTTCATAGATAACAAACCCAATACAATCTTGAATATAACTTCAGAATATTTCACTTTGATAGTGGGACAAATCAAACAATCCATATTAGTATTACACAAAACTGTCTTTTGTTTGTCTCTGGCTCAGTGTGTCTTTATAAAACAAGTCTTCTCTGGCTGTTCACAGATCCTGAAAGAAAAGAATGGTGATGCTGGCAAGACTGATGATGCTGGCAAGACTGATGTTGCGGCCAAAACTGACAAGGTGGACAAAGCTGATGATGATACCAAAAAGACAGATGACGTCAGTGGCGGTGACCCCCAGCTCCAGAGTGAGCCCAGCAAGCCTGTCAATGTCCCCGCTGGCTTTGCCGAAGTCCTGAGTGAACTCAACCAGATTGATGCTTCTTATGCCCTCGATATTGCCAACAAACTATACGGGGAGAAGTCTTACCAGTTTATTGAGGTGTGTGTGTGTGTGTGTGTGTGTGTGTGTGTGTGTGTGTGTGTGTGTGAATTAATTGGTGAGTGATTGAACTGCAGCCTGTGCTTTGGTGTGAAGATCAATACGTTGCAACCTTTCCCTAAGCTGAATATGCAGGCTTACTCAAAACTATCTACTCACTCAAGGTTTACAAGATATAAGTTTTCATTAACAATAGTCATTTTGTTTGTCCAACAAAATCAGGAGGGAAAAGTGTGCTGCAGGTTATCGTCACTGATACTGTGATAGTGTACAAAAACACACTTACAAAAATAATACAACTGAATAAAATCAACATTTTTATTCAGGCAAGGCAGCTTTATTTGTGAAGCATATTACATGCGCAGCGTCTACCTCTGGAGCTTTACAGAGGAACTGCACAAACACAAAATAAAGTAGATTTTTAAAATTTGTTGTCAGTGGCAGAGATGGAAAAGGCTGCAGCAACTAGGAGTATAACGAAGCTTATGGTGGAAAAAAGCATCCAAAAAAGGTTTCTATTGCTCCAACTAAAAGACAAACTCCTTCTGTTATCTAGAATCAACAAATCCACCCTGTATTCAAAGAGCTGAACTCGTACATCTGAGCTGCATTATGGTCGCGTCTCTGTTGCTTGAAAAAGTGCTAAAGAAAGTATTTATGGTGGTGTGGATATTTTAATGTGTTTCTTTTATGATTCCAGGCTTTTTTAGCAGAAATCCAAAAGGAATACAAAGCTGAGCTCGAGTCAGTGGACTATCAAAACAATGCAGAGGAGGCCAGGATCAGCATCAATAACTGGGTGGAGAAGCAGACACAAGGTGGGTTTAAGAATCAGCATTCCCTCCACAGTGTTTAGATTAAAGGCCCTGACCTAAGGCCTCTCTGTCAGCGCTTCGTTCACTCAGAAAAAGTTGTCTCTGAACATAATCTGATCAAGTTTGTCACCACAATGTGTTCTCGTAGATTAATCATAGACAGCTGGACTTGCTTGAGTTCCTTGAAGACGTTCCACCTCTCATCCAAGAGGCTTCATCACTTCTGACTGACAAGTTGGGACTACCAGATACTTACACCCTTAAGGAGCCATTAATATCCTTAAGCATAGATGTATCTGGATCAGTGTTAATGGCTCCTTAAGGATATCTGGAACTCCCAACTAGTCAGTCAGAACTGATGAAGCCTCTTGAATGAGAGGAGGAACGTCTTCAAGGAACTCAAGCAAGTCCAGCTGCTACGATTAACCTACGAGAATAACCACGACCTGGATGACTGAGAATCTTCACAGTCATCACAAGGTAGTTAGAAAAACTATTTAGTAATATCTAAATGTAATCCAAGGTAACAGTGGTGCTTAAGAGCTTCTACTCAAAACATTATTTTCTCTGAAATTGCCGCCACATACCAGATCTATTTGTATCTATCTAACCGATAATCATCTTCAGAGTGAATTCTGAGAGCTCTATCCTTTATGTTCATTTAACATCTGTTTGCATAATCCACAGGACTAACATTCTTTTCTATTTCCATTTTTTTTCCTAATTCTCAGCTTAATTTATATCCACAAAGCAAAATTCTGTGGTTTTGCTTTGCAGTTCAAAATGTAGCAGCACAACTTTCTGCAAGATCCATCGTGGTGCTGCATTTCCACACAGGCTACGTGTGTGTTTAGAATAGATGTTGACATCACTTATAGCATCTGCATGGGTTTAGCTGCTTGACATATTGACCATCTATCCCCATACGAGCCTGAGTGCAGCGTGATATCTACGAGTTCGACCATTTCACTGGCAGCTCCATCTCAGACTGAGAATAATGGGATGTGGAGACTTGCTGTAAGGGCTTCAGGGCCATTTTATTCCCCACAGAGGCTTCCATTATGCCATTTTTTGTGTTTATTTATTTGTTTTTCACATTAAATGTCATCTCCGTCTCGGCTTCTTTTCTGGTTTAACTTTGTACAGTAACTTCTTTCAGTGCATCTGCAGCGATATTGATGGTTGTGGTGGTTTCCGTTCACCAGGTAAAATCAAGGACTTGTTGGCCAAAGACGCAGTAAACGGCCTGACCAAACTGGTACTGGTCAATGCCATCTACTTTAAGGGCCAATGGAACCAGAAGTTCAACGAGGAGGAGACTATTGATTCAGTCTTTAAAACAAGCAAGGTAACACTACATAAAATTGCGAGCACCTATTTGTATCCTGATTCTCTTTTACGTTTTTGTTTCTTTAGTTATTTAAACTGACATATTTTGTTCTTTGGGGAGTGCCAGCATCATTTACATAAGCTTATAATTCTGGTTTAATTTACTCTCTGACTGTTTTATTTATCTTAATAATTAGAAACATTTCTGACTTCAGTCACCTTCGGTGGAAAGCGGTGGAAAAACCCCCACAATTCAACTACAGTGCCAGTTCAGCCTTTGCAAACCTCGAAGTCTTAGTAGCTGAAGGGAACACCTTTTTTTTTTATTAATGGGGATCCTGTCCACACCTGTGATGTATGAGAAGGTGTATAGACACACACCCATGTTGCGTAGCAGTCCTGGTACCTGCCCTTCCTTTGTTTCTTGACAAGTGATTCACACGTCTGAGCTGTTTCCTCAGATGGAAAGTTGAGTCGAGACAAGTTTCACTAGAATCAGACAGATAAACATGCGGCCATAAGGCTCTCTAGTGATTAATGTAGATCAGACCTGTAATGTCAGAAGTTGGACCTAATGCAGAATAAACCATGAAACAAGCACATGTGCACAAATGTGGGCAGAAGACAGAACGCAAAAAGCTTAGAATGCATCACACAAAGTACGAAGAAGCGCCCGACTCAACCAGAAAAGTATTTGTTCTTTCTTTTTTTTAGAACGATACTAAGGAAGTGAAGATGATGCGGCTGACCAGTACGTTTCCTATCGCTGTTGTTCCAGAGTTCGGTTGTCGGGTAATGTCCTGTTACATATACATACATCATACATGGAACTCTCCTCTTACTAACATCAACTTGTTTTACTGGATGAAGAATTCAAGTGAGCTGGAATAAAATCAAACACATTATGTTTTGGGGCAGGTGCTTGAGATGCCTTATAAAGGAAAGGCCCTCAGCATGCTCATCCTACTGCCCGATCAGATAGAGGATGACTCAACAGGCTTGGAGAAGGTAGAACACATGAACACGCACTCTAAACAAATTGACAACACTGATTTAAACAAACTAATGAGAGTAATTGCGTCCACACTAGCTGGAGAAGGAGCTGACCTATGAGAAGTTTATGAAGTGGACGGGTCCGGGCATGATGAATGAAACTCTGATCGAGGTGGGCCTGCCTCGATTCAAGTTGGAGGAGATGTTTGACATGAAAGACATCCTGGTCAGCATGGGCATGGTGGACGCTTTTGACCCTGTGAAGAGTGACTTCTCGAGTAAGACATTCAGAATAAATATATATGCTGCAGAGTTATTAAAAGAACACCACATATCACTCTCGGTAATTGAAATCAAAGAAACTAAAACCTTTGTCCTCTTCTTCTCTGCCAGAAATGTCTCCAAAACGCGACCTGGTACTGTCTAAAGCTGTCCACAAAGCCTACGTGGACGTGAACGAGGTGGGAACTGAGGCTGCCGGCGCCACTGTTGCTATCGTGGCCGAGCGCGCTCTTGCTGAATCGTTCAAGGCAGACCACCCCTACCTCTTCTTCATCCGACATAACCCCAGCGGTACTATTCTCTTTGCTGGTAAATTCTGCTCCCCTGAAAGCACTACTGCATAAATGTCAACGTATCACGAGACAGCCTGCTCCCCAAAAACATGCCTGTGTCCCGCTTGCATATTGTATGTATATTATTATTATATATTCTGTGTCTTTATCAGCTCACAATCTCTGGTCTGACTAAAGTTCAGGTGCTGCATTTTATAATAATGGATGACGTACAATAAAAACCCTTATACTCTTTGCTAATGAGAGTCATTGCTATAAAAATACAGCTGTTTGTACTGAAGCCCTTCAGCTTTTCCCAGTTGCGCCCTTGTTCCTGTCTCGTTTTGTTTTTGTACCTGCACTGAGGTATCTGAAGAAGATTTTGTCTGCCACTGAATCCAAACGATTGCTATGTCCATAAAAATGCAATAAAGGAGTGTTGGCTGAAAACGCAATGTGACTTGTTTTTATTGTTGGTGGAGTGATTTCTCCTTTGACCGTGCTTACACAGAGGGAGCCGAAAGTCTAAAGAGCTGTGTCAGTAAGGCAATGCATGTGTAGAATACACAAGGAGCAACGTTGGACATGCAATCAAATGCACAGAACTATACGCAAGGGAGAATAAGCAAGCGCAGAACCCAGGAGACTCAGGGTGATGATGACGGTGAACATTAGCAGACTCTTCCTCTCAGGAGATCATCGAGTTCGCGTCAGGAGATTCTGGATAATACGATCCTCGCTCCTGTCAAAAACACACGAGGTTTTGATTCACTCAGTGATTCTGACGTGTGCTCGATGAGACGTCCTCCTCAGATCCTTCACCGCAATCCAGTCGTCTGGTTCCAGATCATATAGTGTCTGTTCTGTGGTCCTTGGCAAGGCTCCTTTCGTGCGTTTGTGACTATCGTAACACCGGGAGAGGACATATCTTGCACAATAATGCATTTGATCCTGACATTGACTGCTCTGTGGTGGAATCGACCTATTTCCACGCTGAGATGTAAAAAAAAAATGCGCCTTTTTTCTGAGTGCTCCACTTTTTTAAATGTTTGCATTTGTTGAACGTTGCCATCTTTGTACTGTATGTTAAAATAAACCATAAAACGGACAATAAATGAACTTTATTCCAAACGTTGTCACCTAATACTCAGCTACTTAACAGCCACAAAACCAAGGAGACAATCATATTGAGGATATCTGGGAGTATACATGACAGAATAATTTATTACAGCACAAGTATCTGTTTGTTACTGTACTACGATTTGTGAACCAATTGGAGAACATGTTCAACAGTCTTTAAGTCACTGGGAGCCTTTTTTGTTTTCTTCATCCAACGTTTAAGGTGTCTCTAGAGCTACCTTCAAATCAACAAATGCTTTTTCTGATTCAGGTATTAAGGCAACTCCTTCTTGAGGAGTAGTTGCTGCTAATGGTGCAGCCTAATTTGGTGTCCACTGCCCATGTGAGGACGTCATGCACGAAAAACTCATCACCTGTTTCTTAGTTTTGGGTTGCGGAACAGCATGAATAGCTTCAGTCTCTGCAATGTGAAATGTTTGATCTGTAGTGTGACATCATATCTTAAAAGGATCCGTTATTTCTTTGTCACAAGTTTTGAACATTTTGGATTGCATTTTAAGAAATCACCACCTAAAAAGGCCACTTTCTGCTTGCCCGTTGTAATTCACAAATGTTTGCTTTGTAAGCATATTCAGATGAGAATATCATTCAAGATTGCACTTCCATCTGGCGGAGTGATTTAAACTCCGAAGGTTCTGCTTTGAATGTGCAGCAAAAATCGGGTGGACCACTGAGAAACTTTTCCTCTTTTAGAAACCGGGAAGAAATTTGCGTGACAATTTTGGTGTTTAAGCAGGGATTGCTAAATGCACTCATTGCAGATCTTGCTATTCATCTGCCTGGCGAGAAATCCTTTTACGAGATTGGTGTTTGAACAGGTGGCTACATTCACTCCAGCTTTAAGAAGAGAATCAAATCAGTTTCATTGGAACTTCAGCTTCTGTTTTTTTGTTTGCTTTGTTTTGCTTTCATGGATATTGATGTCAGCATGGTCTACAGGAAGGTTTAGGTGTTACTACAACTGGTTTAGCTTCTTTAATCAGACAAACATGATTTTATCTCTAAAGCATCAGTGACAAACACAGAAAAGGTTGTTTTTTTTTTTTTTTTTTAATCTGTTGGTAGATTTAAACCTTGTGAAATTTGTTGGTCTACACTCTGTGTCAGGGAGAAGTTCAACAGTTCTGACTGTATTCACACTTGATAAACCTGTAAACCGGTTTTGTTTTTTTCCCCACCCATTTGGGTTATTACATGCTTTAATCCAGTGTCCTACATCTTGCCTCTTAGGTTTGAGCAATGAGACATGAGGATCCAAGTGTGGGACGTGAAATAGGATCGGAAAGAGTGAGAACTAAAATAGTCTTCCTTTGCTATCATGTAAGATTGTGGGATTGTTCATGGAAGAAAGTTCTATAACATCAACAGGATTCCCAATACATCCTGAGAATATTAAACATTCTGCCATTGTTGATATATCACCTTACATCTGAGGCCTCGAATGAATGTTGGTGTGAGGATGTTCTTCTTGTGTTGTCCTGAACGTAACCTGACAACTCTGACAACGTCCTACAAACATTCTCTGAACGTTACAAAAAAACCCTAATTTTTAACCTTATAACAACATTCCTAAATCATTTTTTCAGCCTAAATAAACTGAAAAGTGAAGTGCAAGTGTATCTAAAGAAGTGGTGCAATTTTAAAAGCAAGGTGTGCTCACATCAATGTTTTTTACTGTTTATAGCACCTTGCATTAAGTTAATTGATAAATTTGAGCTATTCTTGGCAATACTATCCTCACCTAACCCTTATGCCTGAAACTTTTCACACTATACACATTTTCTTGTGTGTAGGAAAATCATTGTTCTTTCATTTGCTGTTCCAAACAAACACTCTGATCTGTGGAGCTTCAATATTTGACTGTTTTCTATTCAAGAAATTAATGTTCATAAAATAAAAAGTGGATAACATTTCATTGTCTGTTCACTGCAGGCCTTGTATTTACCTCTTTTCATTTTGAAAACAATTACTATTTCATATTTGCCAATCTTTCCAAACCCTTGCTGACCTTCAAGACTTCTAGGCTGTGTTGTCATTAACTTGTAATGCAAGATAATATGTCCCTGCCTGTTTCTGGGTGTGCTATGCTACTGAAGACACTCCTACATATAAAAAAAGGTCATAAGACCATGCGGCAAACATTATGAATTTTCAGGTCATTGCACATTGGGTAAGATTATGATAAATTACATGACATACACAGTAACCTGTGCGACATTCTCGTTATGTAAAATGTAATGACACCAGGGCAACGAAAACTTTAATAAGCAGGTAAAGAAAATTTAAATATGATTGTCCATCCATTATCTATACACCTTAATCCTCACTAGGGTCATGGGGGGCTGGAGTCTATCCCAGCTGACTCAGGGTGAAGGCAGGTTCACCTGGACAGGTAACCAGTC